GTAGTAATATATGCCGATGAAGAAGTTGTTGCACTTTTAAGCAATTAAGAAAGGTGTATTTATTTCTCGCTTCATTAAATCAAAGGTGCGTATCAGTACTGGGGAAGCTTTTACTTCTTATATTAATCCAACATACCATCTATTTATAAATATTATGTTCCACTAGCCCAGAAGCAATTGAGGCAAAACATTTTCCTTATTTAAGCTCATCGTTTTTTCCACGACGGAAAATATAATGAAGTGCTTGCTTTTTAAATATATGTAATTTGCGGATCTCTTTGTTGGTTCTTAATCATATGCATGCTACAAAAGATGTTTATTAGTTCTGCTCCGTGGAGAACTCTGCATTCACTCTCTAGTTAGTACTTGCCACGAGACGATGAAACTCGGAAGCGTTGCCCTAAAAAAAAAATAAGATTTTCAGACATTTTAACCGTGATACAGAACTTTAAGTTTTTATATGAGACGTAAATATATGGAAACAACAATACACAAAAACATTCCAGGATGGTGAAGATTAACAAAATGTTCGCCGGCACACTGTCACAAAAATCCTTTCATGATAACTCACCTTTGTTGGCCAACTATTAAAAACTCGTGAACTAAAAGATTTACCACATTCTTGCACGAAATTGTGTGGTAATGAGAAAAAAAAATCCAAATTTTGGAAACAAAGACCACTAGTCTCTGCGGAGTTCTATTGTTCTCGCTATTGTTTTCATTGAACAAAGACTGAATGCATAATTAATGTTTGGGGTTATATGGAATTCTTGCCCCCGCATTCTTGCACGAGATTGCGAGGTGGTAAAACCTTGAATTTCGATACTTCAGAACTAAGTGTGAACAAGACCTTTACAAAAATATTCAAGAGAATGAGCTTCTCAAACTCTGGAAATCAGCTGACCAGGCTATTCGATGACATGTTCAGTCAATCTCGAGCGCAGGGTCATTTTGGCTCCTTGTCAGTGGTATGGTCGCCAAAATAATCATTTCAAGGGAGCTTGGGGGAAATTTCAAAGTTCCGCTTCGCCGAAAAAACTTCATGCAGGAGAGCCGTCAGCAAGCCTCGTCAAACCAAACACTACAGCAATTTAATTAGAAAGGAAATTTACGTGCATCAAATTATTGGGAAAGAGTACCATTTAACCCCAGACATTAATTATGCATTCCACRACTTTGTCTTTCACGACAAAACTTTAAAAACAAAGTCTACTAGTCTGAATGCATAATTATGTATGGGGTTATATGGTACTCTTGCCAATTATTGCGTGAAAATAACTTGTACGTGCTATTGTGTAGGGATAACATGGGAAGTAACGATTTACAAAAAAAACGCTGGTGTACTGACCCATACGTACGCAGCTCTTGGAACTATAATCCGGACCCTTCGAGAAGCAGACGACAAAAAATGTTGGGTCGAGTCCTTTTAGAAGTGGTGCATTTTGATATCTCTTGAGCATCACTATGATGGGTTCACGGTGAAAATCTCCCCATTAATTTTACATTAGAGTGCTTCACCCCTCATAAAGGAGTTACAAGGCGAAACCTCCTTCTCCACTGATTTTTTAATTCACAAAATACTTTAAAAAAACAATCGTGAATGCATTTTTGAAAATAGTGTAGCTTCATTATTTCAGCAAACAGTACCTTCCACCTTGGAGACCACATTCCTTCACGGGGGANTTTAAAAAGCCATTGTATATTAGCAAACACATACCATTTCTTAAATTTGAGACTTTTTGTTGCTTATTAGGTTGTTTGATATCTCCTTGGGTTGATGTTGCCATAACTAATATTGTTGGTTTTACTGGTTCCAGACTGAATGGCCAAGAATTGATTGGAAATTTTGAGTAGGGTTACCAAAATTTTAATTATTGTTTTGTGTTAATAGTTACTGTGTGACATATAAATTTCGTGAGTTAAGTTTTTGTGAATTTTCTTGTGCAAGACAAATGTCACTTCATAATCTGTGTAATCTGACCCACTCAGGAAAGTTTCCTTTTAGTACATAACTGGACAATGCAGAATAATATCCTGCTTGCAACTAAAATTTCAAATAATATTTTAAGTAGGATTTCATTCGACTTCAACTGTAAAATTATGTTTCCACAGGCATGGAATTTCTCCAATCTTACACTTGTAAAATTTTCATGGCATGCTGCAACTTATTAAGAGTAGAAAATTGTCAGAAAAAAGTGAATCGAAAAAATTACTGAAAAGAATTATTTCTATGAACTCATGTCATTTTTTAATCAAAGCAATAATTTTAAAATTAATTCTCAACTGTGATGCTATATGTGACTGACATTTTCGTGAGGAGAAGTTTCTTATAGTTTATGTCAAGCCTTAACAGAGGCCTGAAAGCAATCTTAGTGGTTTTTGACACTTTTTTAAAGATGTAATGAAACTGTACTCCATATCTGTTCTCTAAAATGCAGTAGATACTGGCTGTGATTGAATATTTCCCAGAGAAAGACAATCACCCTCCTTCTTGTGCGTAACTGAGTGCAAATTATACTCCAAACGTAATGAGGCAGTGGAGTCCATTACCTGCAGGAGTGAGAAACTGAGGTAAATTCTAACTGTAGCATAGTTTGAAAAATACAATTTTGATTAAGCCATGAGTGAGAAGTGATAAGCTAAGGAAGTGAACTCACTGGGCAGGACATTTATTGTTTAACTGGTCTTGCAAAAGCGCCTTGTTGTGAACATTAAGTTTTAGAATTATGATTATCCACGCTTTTTATTATACAATTTATCACACTAATTCATGATCATTATCAGAGTTGCTTTGTAACCATGCAAATCTGATACGTATAAGGAAGGGGCTCAGAGCCACTCTAATTTTGCATTAAATTGAAATGTTACAATCCATTAAGCAGGAACCAAAAATGGTGTAAGAAAGTCTCCAGATTGTGCAGTGTGCCATGTTTTCTGTACTAAGTGATCTCCTACGGTTTCTACCAATGTAGGAGGTATAAGTAGGTATTTTTTTCAAAGAATTCAGCCCTTCGATATGTTGGTACACTTAGTGCAATCCTGATTAAAAAAATCTGTGAAAAGTTGAAGAGACTGAATATTTTGCTAAACTGATTGCAAGCTATAATGTAATTGCAATATTTTGCACTCTTAAGTTTGAATGGTTCTGCTCTTGCAAATTTTTGTTTGGGTGGAGGGGGATGGAGTTCTATAACCCCCCCCCCGTCCCCATCCTATTGCAGCTCTGAAATCTATGCAGCAGTGTGCATGGAGAGTGTCATGTGGGTGACTGGAATAAGAGAGATGCTCAATTTTTAACTCTCTTCTTATTCATAAACAGATCAAACGGTGTATAAATCCTAATGAAACGATTGTGAATATTTAGCTAAACTAATGCAAACTGCTATTGCAAGAATGTCCGCACTCAAGTTTGAGCGATCTTCCCTTCCAAATCTTCATTCATCCCTTCCGCTTTCCCCGCAGTGAGTGAGGGAAGAAAAAGACATCCGATTATCCTGAAGGACCACAGAAGTTTGCGATAAAATGCACTAACAGTGAACTAATCCGAAGCCGAGCCATTCGCAGGAGTGAATTCTCTTGAAAGACTCAGATTGTTTTCTTGCACGCTCGTGACGAAAAAGTTACAGTTACATTTTTCTATATATGACAGCAATCTAAATTTGGCGGAATTTGGACAGTTTCGATTTATAGAAGCTGTAATCTGTGACCAGGCTCACAATTGTGCATGACATTGCAATAAATTTTGTTATAATTTTAGAATTACATCTTCAGAAACTATTTCCTCTGATAATCAAATTATCATACACACAGGATTTGCATCATAAATTTCCTTTAAGTCGCACCATCACACCTAACTATTTCCTATGATAACCAAATCATCCTACACACAGGATTTGCAGCTAAATTTTCTTCAGAATGATCACACCTAACTTGCAAAATTTTAGAGAATTTCCTGCTAATGTTCGATTCCTTAAAAAAGAAGTACAGTTAGTTAGTTTTACTCAGTAGTTCAGAGTGTCAAGACCAGCACTTACAAGCTCAGAACCTCTTGGTCACAAAAAAGTAACTCCAGTACATGTAAGCTCAAGTTAGTGACCTATTTTACTGAGGATTTGGTATGTCACATTTGACCTATTATTGTATGTCTTACAGTTTGAGTTCAAGAATAATATGGTTCATGTGTACTTATCTCAATCCAATTGTTTAGTCTTTGCTTGAATCCTTATATTAGTTGATTCATGTTCAAAATGTGTCAAGATTGCATTCAGCTTTCAGAACATTGCATTTATCTGTATACTTGACTTAAAGTTCATTGGTGAAATCAGATATTTCACTACAGTCTTCATTGTTTAGTCCATCAGTAATGACAGATGTTGTCCTGTCACTGAATGAGATTTTGCCAGTCTTCCTAGTTTTAAGTCGAAGGAAAATATGAAATTGTGATTGAAATTAGTCTTATCTAATGTTATGTTGTTTTGAGCTATTGTTTTATCAGTATTGACTTGTTTTCAGTCATTTTATGTATAATTCTAAGAACAGCTCACCATTCAATAGTTCTATGTTTGGTTAATAGGATTAAGTCTTTTAAGTATCACACAATGATTACTGTTCTGTCATGCAATGCTTTAAAATTGTCTTGCTAGTGCCTTGCTATTGTATGAAAATCGATTGTATTTTTTACTAATTGTTTTATTTCATTATTTTAAATTATTGACTTGTTATTTGTCATTTATTATTTCTTTTAGCTTGCAATCACCCTTTCTTTTTATCAGTATTATTTCTTTTGTACTTTCCTGTATAAATAAATTTTATTGTGGCTATAAGCCTGTCTCGTTGTTCAAATAACAACATCAGAACCTGCCTCGGTCACAAATCGTTTGTGCATCTAGAAAACTTTAACTTGAATTCTAAATGATTGAAAAGAAAAAAAGGAGAAAAAAGATAAAGAAAGGTTAAAAGTACTCTAAAGTAATCTTTTTTTCCCCTGATGTAAAATACAGTTAAGTTATGTTAATCATTGAGTCAAGACTATCAACCTCCTGGATCTCGCCATTTGTCATAACCAAAATCATGTCACAGTCTCTTATGGTGTTTAGTCGATGAGCTATGGTGATTACTGTGGAGTGCTTCAGTTTCTCTCGCACTACCCTCCAAATTGTTTGTTCTGTTTCTGGATCCACGTGTGCAGTTGGCTCATTCAGGATGACAATTTTTCTCTGATGCAGGAGGACACGAGCCAAACAAATCAACTGCCGTTCTCCTACACTTAGGTTTGCACCATGTTCCAACAACTGGTGATCTAGTTTTCCATCCAAACTTTCCACCAGCTCTTTCAGTTGAACGATCTCTAAGGTTCGCCATAACTCTTCATCTTGGAACTGCTTCATAAGATCAAGATTTTCTCTCAGCGATCCACTGAAAAGGACAGGACATTGGCCAAGAACAGATATACATCGTCGAGCCACTTGTAGGTTAATGTCCTTTATCGGAATGTCATCGATCATTATGGCACCATGGGCATCTGGCATGCGCAGAAGGGCTGCCACTAGGGACGACTTGCTGGCTCCCGTTCGCACTGTGACACCAACGTTTGATCCACCTTTTATGTGAAGATTAAGCTTCCTTAATACTTGAGGTCCCCCCGGGTAGTAGGTCATTGACAAGTCTTGAAACGTGATATCCCCTTTAAATGGCCAGTGTTCCGGGGGAAGTTCGTTTACCTTGTAGCCAGGTTCATGGTCAAGTTTTGTGTACGTCATAACCCGTTCAACTGACGTCATACAATTCTCAACTTCGGCTGCTTTTCTGACAGTGTAATCCATCAGTTCCATACTTTCGAGGATGGAAACAAGCCCAATTCCAGCCAACGCTGTTCATAAAATAAAAAATCGGATTGATGTCATGAATGTTTTCTTATCACACTTCCCATTTTTATTAGTTATCAGTTTAAGGTGTTAGCCAGAAACGAAAAACAGTTATTCAAATAAGTTGTTTCTCGCATAGTACAGAGATAGATAGTTACATCTTGAGCATTTTGAAGTTCACTTAAGCAAATGAAAATAGTAGAATAACCTTAAAGCAAAAATCGAGCGAACAGTTTCATGACCAACTGAAAACATCGGACATAGCTACTGTTGAATTTTGCAAACAAGGTCCAATAAAAAATGATCGTGGTTTGCAATAAGAAAGTCTCGAGATTAAGAAGCTTGTTTTATATAAAACACTGGGTGATATGTACCAAACGTCATGCAAATAGTAGGAAAATGCTTTGAAAGACTGAAGCATTAAAAGGCTCTCAACTGCATGTCATGCGAATGGCCAACCTGTCCAATAACAGACAAGAGATCAACGAGGGATTATGCTATTAGATACCTACAAGCATCTTGAGATACGAAGATCGCCCCAAGAGCCACTGCACACGTCAAGATCGAGATAAGGAAACACATGCGCACACTAAGCCATCTATCGCAGGCAAGCACCATGATATACGATTGAGTGTGAACATCGTGATATCTAAATGGAGTAGGATGGAAATTATATTACCACTGATGTAACGACGCACCTGATAATAAGGACTAAACTTTTAATCCTATTCTCGTTTTTGTGGTTAAGTTACTTACTAAGCTGGATAAAGTCCTTCTTTCATGCTCACCAAAAAATATTTTGCCATCTTCTCAGGTACATAGGACCTTAATTAATGAAAAAATGACTATTTCAAAGCTATCTTTTGGCTGTGTTTTACATCACCATGAATCACTTTTGGAGGCAGCCCGAGGAAAATCCATGCGGGTATTTCAGCCAGAAGACTAATCTCACTTTCCGACATCACCGGCAGTTTTTTTTAGCAATATGCAGGACACACGGTACATAACTTGGGAACTTGGTACCACTTAGGTTACCAGAGAGTTCTATGTTGTTAAGTTTTAGAGAGTTAGAGCGCGAGATCCGAAGATCTGATAATCGATTACTTTTGGGATACTTAGATTGTTTTTCTGTCCCATGCTCGTGACAAGACAAAAAACATCTTTTTTGAAACCTGATATTGTAAATTGCGACGTGGGACTAATGGGTCTCGTTGTTATTGTACGACTAGTTGATACGCTACGACATGCCTGTAAAACTGTTCCTCAAAATCTCTTTGTCTTGCTCTTGTTCGAAAAGTCTCAAGCCCATCTATGGTATCCGAAATGTGTGAAGACACAGGACTTCGGTATATAGACTCTATTCGTTTCAGCTGTCTAGACGTTTTCAGATAGTACCGAAAGATGTACACGACTGCTATAGCCACTGGAACAGTCACAAACAGAAGCCATGGATTAGCAACGGTTGGAACGAGAATCGAGGCCAGCATTGCTACGACTAACTGGATAGCAAACAGAAACGCCTTGGGTAACACCTCGTCCATGCAGCCTGTATCCTTAGAGAAGCGATTAAGAACTCTGCCAACAGGGTTTGAATCAAAAAACAAAACAGGAGCCTCTAGAATTGCCACCGCCATTTTATCGTGAAGATGTTTAGAACATCTCACAGAGGCCTGAAGAAAGCAAAATGCCCTGGCAGCGGCAAATATGAAGGATCCAAGTACTAGAAAACCAAAAATGATCAGGTTTGCTTTGTCTTTCTGGTTTTCTGGACTCTTCAGAGTAAGAGATGAAAGCCAAAAGTCAGGAGAAACTATCACAACCATGAAAAATGAGAGAAGACACAAAAATTAGTATACATCAAGAGGTGGTAATTTAATCAATCGGTCATTTTGCAAAATAATAATAATAATAATAATAATTTAATATTTATATTGCGCAAATTAACATGTGGATACTATGAAATACGCATCACAACACTTTTCGGGGGACTTTGGGGGGACTGCATCAGCAGTTTACAAACAATTGTAATGTTGGTCCGGCCGGGGCTCGAACCATCGACCTCGACGTTCCGCACAACAATCCAGCGCTCTATCCAATTGAGCTAACCGAGAGGCGGTAGAGCCATACCAAAACCAAACCATACCAAAAGACATGTTTTTGATTGGGTATGTTAAAACTGGGGACACAAGGACGGGGCAAAAGCGACGAAAATACTTTTGCGGGATTTCTGAACATTTTCATGGGCCACCTCGCAGCCGTAGCCCTTAACATTCTAGCATCAATATGAATAATCTCCACACGGTTCTCCATAAGTTTCCAACTGAAGATGTTAAAAAGGAAACTTTGTTTGACACTCAAGAGCTTCTTTTGCTTGTGATCATTTCCTCTATTTCCGTGACCTTAATGTGTTGTTCAGGGGTGGAATTGTGAAAAGAACTTAGACGCTAACCGCACTTAAGTATCAAAGGATGAAACTCCCGTGGGTTTTATAGCCATGGCCCGAGAACTTCTGCAGACTTCGAAGAATTAACGTCTTAGTTATCATTAAGGTGATTAAAAGCAATAAAGGGCTCACTTTCCTCCACTAAAAGATTGAATGTGATAAAGCATACCAGATTATGATAAAGCCTCTAAGAGCCAGCAAGCCTGAAAGTTCATCATCTCAGATAGGACGGTAAAAGCCGGTTAGGAAATACACCAACCACTCACAAAATGCATAAATAAACCGAACTTACATACTGCAATAAGTACAATACAAAATAGGAAAAAATAATAACAATTCAAATCGACGCTCTTATTAAGCTGACGAGTTTAGGGAATTCTTTAGTAAATTCTACAAGAGACGTGTTATCAGTTATATCAGCGAGGAGCTGATTGTAGTCTCAAGTAGTTTTTGGGGAAAAAAACAACGTAAACAACGGCTTCTACTAAAAACCAAAACTACCTCTTAAGTTTACCTTGAGTAATGAAACATAAGAGGATAAGTCCGATGATCGATATAGAGCTTAACCCGCTTCTGAGGTAGTCCCAGTAGAGCTTAAAAGTCACTCCTCCGACCATGCGGTCTTCGTCTGACATTTGTATTTCCTTGTTCTGAGGTAGTGCAGGCATCACTCTATTCTTCATTTCCGGGTTATCTTCCTTTTTCGAAACCGACCTCGCATTGGACTCCCTTTCCCTAAAAGGCTTCATGCCAAGTGGATCAAGTGCAGAATCAAAAATACCCTTTTCTTCAAGCTCGGGGAAATTACCTTTAGCCAACAAACGTCCTTTGTATAACAAAATAACTTTATCAGCTTCTTTCATGTGTTCTTCCTGGTGGGACGTCAACAGTCGGGTTTTGTTGCACATTATACCTTTAATGAATTTATCAAAGACATGTTGGCTAACTCTCGTATCCACGGCACTCAGAGGGTAATCCAACAGGTACAGGTCTGCATCCATGTATACCGCACGTGCTAGGCTCACTCGTGCACGCTGGCCTCCACTCAGAACAGCACCCCTTTCACCTACAGCCGTTTCGTCACCTTTGGGAAACTTCTGAAAGTCTTCCGTTAGGGCGCATGCCTCAGCTACTTGGAAGTACCAGGTTTGTTTGTAAGGTTGACCAAATAAAATGTTTTGTCTTATTGTTCCAGAAAAGACCCATGGTGTCTGGGGGACATAAACAAGGGAAGATGGCCAGGTTATTGTTCCTCCTGCGACTGACACCTCACCTGCGATAGCTGAGAGAAGAGTAGATTTTCCACTTCCCACTGGACCCGTGATAACTGTTAGGTCTCCAGACGCCGTAGAAAACTGGACATCTTGCAAAAGGAACACGTCACCACCGGGCTTTTCTTTTGATGATAAAATTGACACCACTAGGGTCGCTGGCTTGGCCATATTGTATTTCTCGTCAACAAGAATACGAGGATTTTCTTCAGTTTTATCGTGTTGATCCGACAAGGTTATCGTCAATTCAGATACGCTCCCTCTCCCCTTGGTTTCAGAGCTTTCGCTTGAGTGATCATGACAGACCACGGGTACATCTTTTAAAAGAAGGAAATGCTCAATTCTCTGAAGTGAAACAAAAGCCTCGTAAGCATCCATTGTGCCATAGAGTAGGTACATACAAAGGCCTATTCTTGCTACATTGACGAAAGAGAGAAGCATAAAGACATTAACGGGCGTGAGGGGTTGACCAGTAAGCATGAGTGTCATGACTAATACCAACATCACAAATGACACTGAACTGTATTCCAGGGCAGCAAGGACTGACAGAACACTAGTTTTCGTACGGATAATCTTCATTTCATCACTGCAAGCAGAAGAAATGCATTGTTTGTTACCTTAACGAAATTGAGAATCGTTAGCACAAATTTGAATGCTTCTCATGCAACATATCACTTTTTATTAAAGACTGGATCATTGGATAATGTGATTCAAGAGTTTTCATTGGCTTAGCCATCATGATTTATGAGTCATTACATCATGCACGGGCATGAAGACGGGTTAAACCGAAAGTGTATTTGTTTATTGTAACATTCCGTATGCCGTTACAAAATAAAGTTGGGAAGACTTAATAAAGCAATTATTTCACTCGTGTGGGTTGGATATGAAATGATTATAGCCAACTCGGCCCAGTGGGCCGCCTGAGCTAACATATCGAACCCTCGCTCGAGGAATAATTGTAAAATATCATATTGTGAAAAAGTCTTAACGCGAGATTGACTCTCACTGATGGCTGAAGCCTATCCGTGACGTGAAGTCCTAGGACACCGTTACATCTCAAGTTTTCCTTAATATTACAGCTCTCGAAAACCTTACGAAAGGTTAAGGTCAAGGATATTACGTAATGACCTTAGCGACAGTTCGAACTGCGCATTTCGCCTATCCGTGACGTGAAGTGCTAGGACACTGTTACATCTCAGGTTTCCATGATATTACGGCTTCCCTATATCTTACGAAGGGTTAAGCCCAAGGACACTTCGTAACGATCCTGTAGACAAATGAATAAAGGCTGATAGTTTCGAAAGACCTACTGCGTCGGTGGGAGTAACGAAATAATTTGGTTATATCAACAAAGTTGAAATGGTAAATTAGACACCGTAACGATTACAAAAGCTGACGTTTCGAGCGTTAGCCCTTCGTCGGAGCGAATAGAGGAATTGTGGGTTGTGTGTGCTTTTAAAGGCAGAAAATGGAGCTACGTTATTGGTGGGAACATGGCAACGAGAAAAACAAAAATAAATTAGTGGAATGAAAAGCGTTCGTTGATCCCTGTGGGATTTAGACTGCCGGTTTGAAAGATGAGCTTTTGTTCAAGATTTTTACGGCTTTCCGTGCTACCTAAGTGTAAGGAAAGACCGCAGATTGCCATATGTTGCTTAGAATGATTAGGTAAATTAAAATGTCTAGCGACTGGTTTCGATGTGTCCTTGTCATTCCTTTCCACGTCTCGAAGGTGTTCTCGGAATCGGTCACCTAGTCTTCTGCCTGTTTCGCCGATGTATATCTTTTTGCAATAAGTGCAAGTTATGCAATAGATTACATTGGCGGAGGTGCACGTGAAGTGATCGGTGATCTTAATGGATCGTTTAGGTCCCGATATTTTATCAGTGTTGTGAATGAAAGGACACGTTTTGCATCGTGCACGAGCGCATTTAAAAGTGCCTGGTTGGTCATTAGTCTGAAAAGAACTTCTGACCAAAAAATTGCCTATGTTTTTGTCGCGTTTGAATGAAATGAGCGGAGGCTGCGAAAAGATAGTGCTTGTCTCTGGATCGTTTTGAAGTAATTTAAAGTTTTTAAGAATGATGGATTTAACTGAGTGGTTGTGAGGGTGAAACGTGAGAGTGAATGGAATGCGGTCGGAATCTTCCTTATGTGACGTTTGTAGTGCTGAATGTCGATCAATAAGTTGGGCGCGGTGGTAACCCGCTTGAACGACAGAAACAGGGTAACCACGTTTATCAAAAAATTGGCACATTGACTCTGATTTGTCCTGTCGACAGTTCGAACTGCGCATTTCGTCTGAGATTCAATGCACCCTAACATGATTGATTATATGAAAGGCGCTGTGCTGCCTGCTTAGTATTATCGCTTTTTTCACAAAAAAACAAATATTTGCTTGCAATTGACTCGTATACCTCTCAAGTGTTGGGCAAAATATTTTCTGAGATACTTTTAGTAATGGAGTTGCGAAACAGGTGAAGCTGGTTAAGCTGCTGTTAAAGCAATTGTAGGAAGGGAGCTGAAAGCCTGTGCCTCCCATTCTAGTTGGGCGTCTCTACTACCTGAACTCATTACGAAGCCTTTGATGGGCGCGAAGCAAATTTTAGTCTACGGGGTTCTTTCCCGGAAAGGATTCGAATCCAGAATTCTTGACCAAGCTTCCGGCACGCTGAAGATTGGGCCATAGCGCCCTCGACTAGTTCGTGATCAATTGTTACATGTTCTTTACATACCTTCGTATCCGTTTGATCTTTTCTCTGAATTCATCTTCCTATGCATGTGTTTTGATGGCACGAATCCCAGATATTACTTGGTTTAACAAAGAGAAACGCCAATCTGAAACTGCTGCTGTGCGGCGGCGGAGTGTAGCACTGAGAGAGGATAACGCTGCGAAATATGGTACCAGTAAAAAGAGGCATTGGACTCCCACGAGAGCTCGCCAACCAATAAGATACACAACTAATACTACAGTTCCAGGTATGACCAAGGTGAGATCCAAAATGGCACCTAAAATCATCGTTAAAGTTTGTCCTTCCAGCCTCTGGACATCATTTGATAGGAGGTCAATCACGCGTCCTGTTGTAAATTTGAGTAGTTCAGCCCTTTTGAGTAGTAGAATCTGTTAAACACGGAAAGGAAGAAATTATTGAACTGAATTAGTACCACTCTATCTAAGGGAATTATATAAACAATAGCCTCCATTTGGCGCGAAAATATGCACGGATACTTATCCACGGGCATTATCTGTCCCGATTCGCGAACAGTTTTCCGAGAGCGAAGCTCGAGGAAAACTGTGAGCTTCCTTCCCTAAAAAATCTTTGCATAATCTTTCATTCCTCATTAGTTAATAGCTTTGGAGTTCGTTTGTTGTCTCCTGTGCATTGTGTGTCATAGGAAAGATTGAATCAGTGAAAAACTGTTTACCTTTTGGTAAATAAGACCTTTCAGAGCAGTGCTCACTCCGATACCAAGTACATCACAACAATAGGAAAAGTGTCGATCGGAAATTGTTCCAATCAAGGCACCTAGTCCAATAGTTATTACGCAGCTATAAAAAAGGAGATTTTTATGTGGATTAGGTTCCATCAGAGAAGAAAGCAAGTAACCCAGAAGTAAAGGCTTGAGGAGGCGCCAAAGTCCGTTTAAAGCTTTAGTGGGTACCATGATCTACGCTTCTTTGAAAGATATCATTGCAATGACATTCTTCCAAAGTTTTGTTCTCATCCCGTTTCCTTTTCTCTTCACTTTCTCTTTCCCCCATTGTGTTCGAAGGCGTTTGCTGTAAGTATCAGTGGAATTTTCTCTTGAAAGCGGTGGAAAGTCGCTTTCCTGTACAGTTCCTCTACTACCTGTCTTGAAGATGGTGTCCATTCATTGAAAGATAAGAAGAGAAATAAGGCCGTTTTTTTTTTGTATTTTCATCAGTGGCTATTTTCTGGTATCCACCTCTTGCCATTTAGCTGTAAATATAAGAGAAAACAGTTGAATAGGTGATGAGCAACCGTAAGAGTTTAAACATGCATTATATTCAAACTAAGCAAAGAGACGGAAGCCGTATGTTTTGTTCTGCGACACAGACTTGCCGGTCCGCATACGGCCCTTGCGCTCGTGTAATGAAAAAGTTAGTGGTACTCTTAAAAGACGTGGACTGATAGAAGAGGTTTAAAACAATTATTTCAACACCAAGCAGGGACATAATAAGTTTAGTCCAAAGGTTTATTCAATCGTCTTAATGAAGAGGCCTACTCTGGGACCTTAAGTTGCCTTAAGTCGCTTAAAGTCGCCTTAAGTCGCCTTAAGTCGTTATTAAAGGCTGATAGTTTCGAAAGAAACTGTTTGGGGCTGCGTCGGTGGGAGTAACGAAATAATTTGGATATATCAACAAAGTTGAAATGGTAAATTGGCCACCGTAATGATTACAAAAGCTGACGTTTCGAGCGTTAGCCCTTCGTCGGAGCGAATAGAGGAATTGTGGGTTGTGTGTGCTTTTAAAGGCAGAAAATGGAGCTACGTTATTGGTGGGTGCATGGCAACGAGAAAAACATGAATAAATTAGTGGAATGAAAAGCGTTCATTGATCCCTGTGGGATTNTTTGCCCTGTCGAGAAGCGAGTGCTTTTAATTTCCTCGATAAATATGCACTTTCTATACTGTATACGCCGCTACACCATGCAGTAGTGCTGAAAAGTACTCACGCATCCTTCAACTTAAAAAGAAAAATAGATCGATGTGTTTGTTGTCAATGGATGCAACTTCACCTCTACTTAAACGATGTCTTCTCTCTTTTCTTGAAGAGGAGGCTGCTTTTTGTCAAACAAAAGGATGTCTTAGAGTTCTCCAGAAGAAAAGTAACTTTCGGGAAAAATGAATAAAGGCTGATAGTTTCGAAAGAAACTGTTTGGGGCTGCGTCGGTGGGAGTAACGAAATAATTTGGATATATCAACAAAGTTGAAATGGTAAATTGGCCACCGTAATGATTACAAAAGCTGACGTTTCGAGCGTTAGCCCTTCGTCGGAGCGAAGGGCTAACGCTCGAAACGTCAGCTTTTGTAATCATTACGGTGGCCAATTTACCATTTCAACTTTGTTGATATATCCAAATTATTAAGTCGTTATTAGTTACGCAATGTTATAAGGGTTCCACCCTAATCCCAATTGACCCCATTCACCCCTCTCTAATCATAAGGATCAGAGGAGGAGGCATGGTGGCTGAATGGTTAGTGCACTGGACTCGACATTAGTCCAGTTTTGGTGTCTAGTGTTGGAGCATTGCATTATGTTCTCGGGCAAGATACTGTAAGCTCAAGGTGCCTCACCTTTTCCAGGTGTAAATATGGGTACTGGTTGGCAGGGGGGAGGTAACCCTGCAATGGACTATGAGTTTAATAATTGTTATTGTAAGGTGGGCAATGGCTTCCATATACATAGAAATTCCATGTGAAAATAGTCATGCGCCTGTCTAGCCCCTATGCTGGCATGGGTAACTCCAACATGTAGACAATCCTGATATAGGGAATATGACAGTGTATCTTCTTCCATTTTCTTACTAAAAAAGCTATCTGTTTCAACAAAATTT